GAGGGAGGTGGGAGGGGGGACCGGGATGGGGAATACATGTAAATCCATGGCTAATTCATTTCAATGTATGACAAAAACCACTGCAATGATGTAAAGTAATTAGCCTCCAACTAATAAAAATAAATGGAAAAAAAAAAACAAAAACAAACTAGTAGAACGAGAAGCATCCACCAGGTAAGAAACATGACAGACAGAGGCAGGCAATCAGGTCTCACCGAGACAGCACATGGAACTAGGCAATGTTTCACTGGAAAAGCAAATCTACATAGCAGTGGTCACCATGACAAGAGAGGTGGGGGGAGGATAGGAAAACAGGTGGGATTTAAGAAAGATTTGACACTGCTTCACACATCTTCAGCAAGAGCAATAAAGCTCTGATGAAGTCACAGGACACATACTCTCAGCAGGTGGAAGAGATCTTAACAGCACCAAGTTCGACTTCACATCCATCTCCTGACTTCCTTCACAGCCCATCTGATGGTGATTGGATTGGCCAATGCTTGCACCCCACGCTCAGCCCACCTTCCTGCTGTCTCAGGACAGATTCAAATGCAAGGGAGGACCACAAATAAAGAGGGCACAGGTAGAACAGTGCTCCAGCAGCTAGGTATGCTAAAGTGAAAGTGTTAGTCACTCTGAAAGTGTTAGTTGCTCAGTTGGGTCTGACTCCTTCCGACTTCATGGACTGTAGCCCGCCAGGCTCTTCTGTCCATAGAATTCTCTAGGCAAGAATACTGGAGTGGGTTGTCATCCCCCTCTCCAGGGGATCTTCCCTACCCAGGGACAGAACCTGGGTCTCCTGCCTTGCAGGCAGATCCTTAACAGTCTGGGCCACCAGGGAAGCCAAGGTGTGGACAGGAAATGTTAAAGATGTCCTTGATGTGAAACTTCTTAACCTTCCTGATCCTGCGGTCCATGGCTGACATGAGTCATTCTGCTTCTAGAACCCTTATGTCCTATTTCCTATCTTTTAAGAAACTTTTCAATGATAGAGATCTACTGCTATTTTTTTCCTTTAATTTTTATCTGTTTTTGGCTGTGCTGGGTCTTTGATGCAACACACAGGCTTCTTGTTGTGGCAGCTTCTCTTTTTGCAGAGCACAGGCTCTAGGGCACATCGGCTCAGTAGTTGTGGCACACGGCTTAGCTGCCCTGCGGCATGTGGGATGTTAGTCCCCAGCACAAGGACGGAACCCATGTCCCCTGCATTGGCAGCTGGATTCTGAGCCACTGTTCCACCAGGGAATCCCCCACTGCTCTTTTGTCATTGTACTTTTCATACTCCGGCAACTATACACAGTTTCAGAATATCCCAACAAGATGACCAGCCCATGACCTTTAAATACAGTGGGTTTCACCCCCTCTTTGCTTGTGGTCCAAACATGTTTACTAAGGAGAGCTCAATCCCCAAATTACTGAAGGTCAAGGCATTATCACTATTCATTGGGATGACGACATCAGATCAACTCATTGGTGATATTTTAGTCTTTCTTTGCAAGCAAAGTCTATTAATGCTGTGATAGAGCTTGAGACTCAAATCACTGCTGAATGAGATTTTTGCTTTAGTCAGATTTTATTTGAAAGAATACACTTTAAATTTTATAGCATTTTTATGGGTCTTAAAGGACATCGCACACACCTGTAGAATAAAAAAAAAAGGAAGTTTGATTTCAATGTTGCAAAAGGAAGAAGCTCTGAGTCAGAGAAGGTAATTACTATTTACTAATAATTCTAGGAATGAATCTATTCATCAACAAGACCAGACTCTAGATGTTTTCAGTTTCTGTACTGATTGTCTTCACAAGATTTCCACAACAAGTATTTCAATAACTTAAAAAAAAAAACTATCTGTAAAGAAGAAAGAATAAATTATCAACTGTTGGTGGTCTGTGGAAGTGTC